AGATCTGATGAGCCTGAGGTGTGGGGTCCCAGCACCGCCTCTCAGGACCCGTATGTAGAAGTTCTCCCAGGATTCCTCGAGACGTGGACAGCATGAAAAGACACAGACGCCACGAAGAACTCACTATTGTGGCTCTCCTCATAACGGCCTGCCCTTTATCCTCCATGGTGTATTTTTATCTTGCTTTCTCCTCGTTTACTTGGCCCAAGCTCACTCTGCAGGGTCAATTTCTCCCTCACTCTTCACTTTTACTTTTTCCACCATCTTTTGCTCATTCCATTCACTTCTTTGCTCAAGAGGCAAACAACCCGGAATGCAACTCCAGAAGGGGACACGAGCACCACGAGACCTGGGAAGGGTTATCTGGGGAGCACTTCCAGAAGCAGACCGCTGGGTGACAAGCTCATGAAAAACAGCAAGTCCGTGGTGTCCTCCCTCGCCTTCTTTCCAGCGGCGTGTAGCTTGGAAACCGCCAGCTACAATGACGGTTAAAAATGAACCGCCTGCCAGCTGCAGAGAGGGGGAAAGGAGAGCTGACAGGCAAAAAATATGTACGAGGCAGGGGTGGTGCATGCTCTGCAATCCCAGCACCTGGTGGAACAGGTTTGAGGCTGCTTTGGGCAATTTAGTAAGACCCTGACTCAAAATAAAACAAAAAAGCCTGGGTAGCTCAGGGGTAGAGTGATTTCCTAGCACACATGAGGCTCTGGGCTCAGACCCTAGCACTGGGGAAAAAATGTAACATAGTAGCTCTTTTCTCATTGTATTTGTGGTACGGAGACTGAACTCAGGGCTTCATTGATTTTGATTTTTCCCTATAAAGCAAATCATTTTTTTCTGGCTTTCGTTCTAGATTATTTCTACTCTTCTGGGAATCTCTTATTCTCGTTAATGAAACAAGACTTTTAAAAAGTTACTTTTTGACACCATTTTATGAATTTTTTGGGGGGGTGGTGGTTGAGACAGGGTCTCACTATGTAGTTGAGACTGACCTGGAACTATGTAGCCCAGACTGGTCTAAAACTCACAGAGATCCTCCTGCCTCAGCCTCCTGAGTGCTAGGATTATTTTATGAAAATTTTAAAAATAACTTTTAGGCTGGGTGTGGTGGCGCATGCCTGTAATCCTAGCACTCGGGAGGCTGAGGCAGGAGGATCGTTGTGAGTTTTAGACCAGCCTGGGCTACATAGTGAGTTCCAGGTCAGTCTCAACTACGTAGTGAGACCCTGTCTCAAAAAAACAAAAAACCTTTTAGGAGCTGTACAGTGAACCCCCTTCTACCTAAGACCCGCCCATCAGCTATTTTCTTCAATCAACAATTTCTGAAACATCTGATGCACCAGGTGTCTGTTCATCCGACCCATGTCTGAGAGAGATGATTTTTAATTCCTTTGATTTTCTTTACGGTAAGGCAATGATTATGATTTTTTTTGTTTTGTTTTGTTTTTTTGGTACCAGGGATTGAACTCAGGACCTTGTGCTTGTGAAGACGGTGGAACCACTGAGCTAAATCCCCGGCCGAAGGTAATGTTTAAATACAGAATGAGCAAAGTCAGCTTTAACCTTTATTAATCACTCCAATACCCTCTTCTCCATTCATACTTAAAGATTAGCAATTTTTCCAAACTGTTAGGTTAGAACCAATTGCAATTTTTTTGTTTTGTTTTGTTTGTTTTCTGCTATCTAGCCCAGGCTTGCCTCAAACTCCCAAAAATTCTCCTGCCTCACCCTCCTGAGTGCTGCTGGGGTTACAGGTGTGTGCCACCACGCCACACTTGGTCTAACTCCAATTCTTTGTATGTGTGATAACAAAATCCATTAATTCCATTTATACTGACTGGAAGATTTCACAAATTATCAGCTTCACAAGAGTTCTGGTGTATGGGTTTCTCTCCACATCTTACATCACTACGTAGATTATGCCAATGTCATCTTTTTTGTTTTCTGAGACAGAATCTCACTATGTGGTTCAGGCTGGGTTTAAATTCATGGTGATCCTCCTGACTCAGCTTCCCAATTGCTTGGATTACAGGAGCGTACCACCCACCACTCCCAGCCATCATTTATGTTTTCCATGAAGACCACAATTCTTAGGAGAGACCAGACTTCTCCCATTACCAAATAAATAAGCATAATCCTGAAGAAAAGCATGTACTTCTACATCACAACTTTGTTTCTTTACACGTACTATAAAAATCTTACTTACTTTTATTTATTTGAGTCAGAATCTCACTATCTAGCCATTGAGCTTACTAGGTAGCCCAGGCTGGGCTCCAACTCAGGGTAATTCTCTTGCCTCAGCTCTGGGTGTGGACATTACAGGTGTAGACCACCCCATCTGGCTATATTAATATAAACAACTAGAGATCTTTGTAACTGAAGTAAAGTATACATAAAATAAACAAATTTTGAGTTTTTTGTTTTGTTTTGTTTGAGACAGGGTCTCCTTATGTAGTTCAGGCTGGCCTTGAACTTCTGGCAATCCCCTGCCTCTGCATCCTGAGTGCTGGGATTACAGGTCTGCGCCACCATGCCCAGCTGTAAGTATGAGTCTTTAATGCACAAACATCAGCAATGCCCTGATAAAGCACAAACTGGTGTCAGCACCACTTGGGAGTCCCCTGTGCTGGGATTAGAGCATGTGCCACAAGCCTGGCTAATTGCGTGCTTTTAAAATACAAATGCATGCAAATAGTTATTGTCCTGTGACTGATATTTTCTATAAAATTCAGGACAAATTTTTATGCAATTTCTTTGTATTGCTTATGTTAGGCCCTGAATCTCTAGATCACTACTAATATCCTGAGCTAAAAAAAAAAAAAAAAAGTCAGTTGATATGTAAATATTGCCATACACAGGCAGTAATTACTAAAGAGCCAAGATAAAAATAAAACACAATAAGCCAGGTGTGGTGGCTCATGCCTGTAATCCCAGACTCAGGAGGCTGAGGCAGGAGGATCACTGTGAGTTCGAGACCAGCCTGGGCTACATAGTGAGTTCCAGGTCAGTCCCAACTACATAGTGAGACCCTGTCTCAACCCCCGGCCCAAAAAATAAATAAATACAATACAATACAATAAAAAGCTACAATATAACCAACTCCCATTTCCCACAGTCTTTAAGGTAATGTAAGATCCATGCCCTGGCAAGAAGAGCACTGGCCCCTTGAATAAATCTCGAGGCAAGGCCAGGAATTTAGCTCAGTGGCACTGCACCTGCCTTTCAAGCACAAGGTCCTGATTTCGATCTCCAGTGCCATAAATAAATAAATAAACAAACAAACAAACAAATAAAATAAATCCTGAGGCCAACAGAGCTCATAGGTCTTTTTTTCTGCTTCAATCTACAATTTCCTGAGCTCGGCCACAAAGACGTTATTATTTAAAGCACCTGACGGCTAGGATTCTCACATTCCAACATTCTAATGGCCTCCCAAAGGAAAAGAACAAGGATAAAAACAGCAAATACCTGTAATTAAAAGGCGGGAGGCCATCTGCAAACCTTGAAGTTAGAGGATTTCCATCTTTATCACGGTAGAATGCAAAAAGCCCAGCAGAGAAGCCCTGTGAGAAGAAGTTCGAAAAGTCTTCCAGTGAAAAGAGCAGTTTGATTACCGACAGCATGAAGTGCCCGCTGTCAGGAGCTCAGTGAAGAGCCGAGCCGAGCCAGCGGGGAACTTCTCTACCTCCCAAATGCACCACGTCATAAATTTTAACTACTTGACCTAAACATTTTCCATCAAAGTTTTTACAAAATGCACATTTTAAATTATTTTCAGTACAAATACTAAAGAATGCAGCTGATACGTTTTTAACTCCTCTCTGCTTTTTCAAGTTGCCTTAGCGTTTTCCTTGTTTGAGAACCTGTTGAACTTCAGTTCCAGACTCCGGGCTGGGGCTGAGCCAGCAGAAGCGGCACACACAGTACACGGCATGTACTTGGCTAATAGAATACAATGACTCTGATTAAACATCACCAAGAATAAGTTGTATGTGGTGGCACATGCCTGTACTCCCAGCACTCAGGAGGCTGAGGCAGGAGGATCTCACTGGAGTGCGAGGCCAGCCTGGGCTATATGAATGGGTTCAAAGCTGCCCTGGACTACATAGTAGGACTGTTTCAAAATATCAGAAAATTAAAAAATGATTACCAAGGACATGCACATGTCTATGTGATCAAACAGACAGAGGAAGAAATCATTATTTAGCCAGTAACTTCCTTTCCTGTCACTGTGAGAGAGGAGCACAATCGCTACTTCCTTCCCACAAAGGATTCCATGGTTATCAGACGCAGCACCCACCACGGCTCTGCCGTACCTGAAGATGTACTTCCATAGCTCTTTCAGCATCCTTTTTTAAGACAGGAAAAACCTCATGTGCAAAGTTATTACCCCACTTCCTAAGTGCGGAAGCCCAGGGTGCCACAGTGAGTGCCCAGCGGCACCCAGGGATTGCAAGGAGCACTGGGAGCGACCCAGAGTCGCGCCTCGCAGTGCACGTCTTAGGCAGGACGCCACATGAGGAACACAAGCGCGCACACTATTAAAGACCGGAAACGCGTGCATGAACACGTAACGGAAATTCTGAATGTGTACAAGTTGACAAGCTACGTTTCCTCTGGTGGTAGTAAGTGAAATCACCTACATACCAGTTTCTTGCAAGATGGATTTGTGTGTACATAATCAGATGTATTTATTTGTGCTGGGGACTGAACCCAGGGCCTCTGCATTGAGCTATATCTTCAGCCCTTTTAAAAATTTTTTTACTATGAGACAAGGTCTCACTAACTTGTCCAACCTGGACTCAAACTTGTGATCCCCCTGAAAAGGCAACAGACTGAGCTTAGTTAATCTGTTTATCTGTGGCACCATTTTCTCTCTCAACATTAAGTGTGTATAGTTCTCGTAGCTTAAAATCTTACTTACAGTGATGCTTATCTTTCATTAGAATGAGCAGGAACTGGAAAGCTCAACTTTCTTCCTCACTCTTGTGTCTCTCTCTCTTTTTTTTTTGCAGTGCTGGGATCAAACCCAGAACCTGTGCATGCTACGCAAGAGCTCTGCCACTGAACTACACCCACCCTTCAGCTTGCTCTTTTCAATAAAAGGAAAAACAAGATATTTTATTTTAGAATCTCCTTACATGAAAGATGTAAGTATTTTCTGGTTAGGATTTCACCTTGCTATTTACTATCTTTGAAAACCGAAAGACTAAAGCTTGTATTTCAAGGCCATATATGATAGCTCACGAATAACAGCCACCAATTAGATTACAGCTTAGTATGGACAGTGTGGACGATGCACCCAATTTTATATATATTTTCTTATTTATGCTTCAAATAAAAATATCCAGAGCTGGGAATCCAGTGCTGCACTTGCCTTGTAAGCACAAGGTCCTGAGTTCCATACCCCGTTCCCCCCAAAAAAAAATAAAGAAAAGAAAAAATATCCACTGTAGCATGTACTCTTACTGTCCTTGTATCACAGATGAATCTCAGGCTTCCAGAGCCGCCTACCTTGCCCAAGTCCACAAAGATTTCTAGTCACCAACTAAGAAAGTCCAGGCCTATGCAATCTGTTCTCTCTTAGCCACTATGTTTTGCTGCCCTCTATTGCCTGACTACACCTGCAGAGCATCAGGAAGCCATGGCCTAAAGTCTGACCCAACTTTACATTCTTTATTTACTCAACAGATTTGTTTAGTTATCATAAATAGCAAATTGCAGGGCTGGGGATTTAGCTCGGTGGCACCACACCTGCCTTGAAAGTGATTCAATCCCTAGTACCAAAAAATAAAATAAATACAAACAGCAAATTGCAACTTAGACTTTAATTTTATTATTATTTTTTTTTTTGCAGTATAAGGGATTGAACCCAGGGCCTTCAAATTAAGCTAAATCCCAAGCTTTCTTTATTTTGAGCAGGATCTTATGAAGTTTATAAATTGCCTAGGCTGGGCTTGAACTTGTGATCCTCCTGCCTCAGCCTCGAAGAGTGCTGGGGTTATAGGCGTGTATCACTGCCCACTCTCTTAGTCATCAAAAACTTCTGTATCGAGAGTAACCTATTTAATCAGGTTTTACTGAGCATGAAGCTAAGAACTCACTAACCTCAAAATTTAAAATATGCACCAACAAGAGAGCTGACTAAGAGGAAAACAAGGTATGGAGGAAAGGACAGTAGAGAGCACATTTACCAGGGCGTGGATAATCTCATGTTTCACTGTGGACAGCATCCCGATGAACTCCTGAGGCTGGGTAGAGATCATATTTGGACACAGGTTAGCATATCCTGCTATTGGCCTGTTAAAATAGACATTGAATTTTTTTATTATATTCCAGAACAGTATTTATTAAGACATTTACTAACATATGTATGTCTCTATAAAAACTGCAGAAAAATCTTTTTAATTTTTTTTTGTACCAGGGATCGAACTCAGGTCCTTGCGCTTGCAAGGCAGGCGGTAGAACCACTGAGCTGAATCCCCAGCCCTCTTTTATTTCAAATGTAATTTTGTAGTTAACTTTCACTACCTACTTTTTTTTTTTTTTTTTGAAACAGGGTCTTGCTACATAGCTCAGATTGATTGGGAACATTCGGCAATCCTCTTGACTCAGCCTCCAAGAGCGCTAGGACTCCAGGCGTGCGCCAGGCCTGGCTGACCTGCACTACCTTTTACTGTGAGGACACATGCTTTATGCTCAGCTATGCCTGGCAAATCAACGCCAAAGCAAACACTCCAGGTTTAGTTATATAAACGAACAGACGCCCATATAATACCAAGAAAGGAATAAACTGCAAAACTCAGATTCCAACGCTATTTTACTTAGAAAACCCAAATATGGTTTTCAGGTTCACATATTTTCAGGCGTGGAGACAGAGAGGGAGGGAACTCAGATATACAACCAGGCCATAAGCAGGCCGCGCAGGTTACTGAAACCACAGAACCCTCCCATCTCCCCCTTCTCTATCTTTCCTGTTCTCTTGCCCCAAATCTGCCCCCTTCCCCACGCCCCTGTTCTTTCCAGCTCCAGAGTCTACAGAACCTCATACCCCCGTCTGCGTCCAACACGATGGAGCAGAGCACACTGAGACCCTCAGTCCAGTGGCCGGGAGGGCTCCACCTCGGGCCTGCCAGGCCTCAGGGTGCTTTCTCCCTGCCCTAAGCTTAGTGGTTTGGCATTTCGGCCGGATGACAATTACCTATTTATGAAGAACATCCCTCTGTGTCAATAAAAACCACAATACAGTGCCAGGGATTTAGCTCAGTGGCGCCGCCACCTGCCTCACAAGTGCAACGTCCTGAGTTTGATCCCTGGTACCAAAACAAAACACAATATACTTCTCCTAATTTGAAGTACTAAAGTCTATATTTAGAGAAAGTATGAATATAAGTTACTTATCAAACATTGCCACGGTGACTTCCATATAACACATGTAGGACTCAGAACAGGAGAATCCTCTTCAAGTGTCACACACACTCGTGACACAGGATCATTCCCTGCCTGATCCGCGTTTCAAGACATAGCTGAGTTCCACTCTTCAAAGGGGTCTTCCCTGCCCACCTGACTGAGATGATATTTCCCCCCTTTGTCCTCTTTTATGTCACGGCATCCTGTACAAAATATTTTTCTTCAAAATACTTATCATGTTTTAAGTCACATTTATTTTCAAATGCTCTTAACCAGTCCCTATGTTCCTCTGTGGTCTGCCAGCTCCATGAGGCAGACACACGGGTTTCCTCTGCTCTCCTAGTCTGGCACACAAACACTTGGCGTCAGGAACGAATTCTATAGTACATGGGTAGAAGATCCCTTCAAAAAGATTCGAAAAGCACAGCTGAATATACGGCCCTGCTCTTTCTGCTAAAACCAACATTCCTCTCAGAGAAACCGAGATCCTCCCCCACAGGGAACGGAGCTGCGTTCCAGAGTGCAGTCCCATGTCCACAGGACATTTATCCTCAGCGACTCGTTCCTGTCAGTGTGAAGCACGCAGCGAGCACTGTGACCACTCTGCTTCCCGTGGGCGGCCTGGGTGATGTGCAAACACTTCGCTTTCTCTGGACCCAGAAAACCCTTTAAATCCTCGTGTTCACTGAAGAACACGGGTGAAGCTGCCCAGGCCACCAAGGATATGCGTACCTAAAAGGCCACCAAGTATCTGAAGGACGTCACTCTAAAGAAGCAAGTGCTGGAGCTGGTCCGTGTGGCCTGGCCGACAGTTGGGGTGGACACAGGGCCAGCGTACTGAGTTTTGCTACTCACCACACGGACGCAGAGCACAGGGCTGAGCTCCAGGCTGCGATGGGACGAGGTGGCGCTGGTCACCCGGCAGCACCTGCTCACTTGGGTGCACCGGGCTCCCGCACACACTGACAATTTTACCAAAAGGCGACAAACTGTCCTTAAACCACCTAAACCACAGGAGAAGGCTGTGCAGGAGACAGAGCCCACAGGAAGCCAGGGAAACAACAACTGAGGGCAGGGGATAAACTCAGCATAAAAATAAATGCAAGTAAAAGTAAAAAAATAAAATAGAGTGCTTGAAGTTCTTCTGACATATGATAGTGTGTTCAAAATAAGATTGTGTGTGTGTGTGCATGCATGTGTGTGCACACAATCCATGACTTAGCTCCAATTGAGACGACTGTAATTTCTGCAGCACTACTGTGGAAAAAGGAAATTTCTCAGAATCTACTTTTAAGAGTTTCTTATTTTATCAAGTAGCTTAGTCTGCCATTCATTCGTCACTTCAAATATCAAGGACTACTGATACCAAGACTCCATTCATTAAAGACAAACTGAAAGGCAGTTTCTCAGGAAAAAGGTAACATGAGCACACACATGTGCACAACAACACGCTATTTTCCTGTGCACTCACAAGCACTCAACAGCTGGTGCTCAACTTTCTCCACGTTCAGTCTGAAGAAGACTTTTGAGCCAATTTTACCAATCAGCAATTCCACATTCTCACAGGAGCAGACTGCTCTTTCTTGTGCACACTGGTGATTTGGACTTTTTTAGCCCTTTAGGAATGATGGTACAATTCTGAATAGATCACTGTTTCCTTTTTATTCTCTACTCAGTTCAACTAAGAGCTTCAATTTTTCCCTTACATAAATTATACATCAACAGAAGAGAAAGAACTCTGAAGTCAGCAGGGGCCAGGCATGAGGGCACAACATGTAATATCAGCATTCAGGAAAATGAGGGAGGAGGATTACCGTGAGTTTAAGGCCAGCCTGGGTGACACGTAGTTCAAGGCCAACCTGAACCAAATGGCAAGACCCTGTCTCAAAAAACTAAAAAGGGAAGTCTGCAAGTTCTCTCACAGGTCAGCAGCTGCTCTGCACTCCAGCAACAGTCCTTACACGCACTTGAAACCGTCTCTTGCCCCTCTCCTGAGTGAGAATGGTGCACACGATCTGTTCTGAGTTGTATGCAATTTCTACCACCTTCAGTTGATCTGCCTGGTGTGTGATAGGAACCTCTGCATATAATTATCACTTTTCATTTCAAGGCTGCGCTGCCTCACTGGGAAAACTTTTTGAAATCTTTGGAAATAATGAAAACAACGTTGAAGTGATAATTTAGCTAAATGCAGTACATGCAACAAATGACAACTGAATTTACATTTAAATTTTTAGCATGAAAGTGTCAAACTGAAAGTTCAAATTACTTTTTAGACAGGTATTCACCTTGAAAGAAAATTTTCTTTTCCTTTCTTTTCTTTTGGTATGGGGGATCAAACACAGGACCTTGTGCGTGGCGAGGCAGGTGGCGGAACCACTGAGCTAAATCCCCGGCCCTTGCTTGTTTTTTTGAGACAGGATATTACTCTAATTAAGGCTGGCCTTGAACTTGTAGCAATCTCCTGGAGTGCTGGAAGGAACTTTTCTTAACAAGCAGTCTTTTTCTTTGGAGTTTATTGGCAAAAAGGATAGGACAGAGCTAGGCATGGTGGCACTCGCCTATAATCCTAGCACTCAGAAGGCCAACCTGGGCTACGCAATGAGACCCTGTTTCAAGAAAAGCAGAGAAGTGAAAATAAAAAGGACAGGATTAGAAGAGAAGTGGCAGCGGGAAAAGTCAAAGTCGGGTTCCCCTTTTCCCTCACCCTGCCTACAGACTTCCACGACGTACGCCTGACAGCCCCACGGCCACCCCACATGCCCGAGCCGTGACTGCAGACGCTGGGCTGCTGCAGCGCACACAGGAGAGCAGCTGGAGTCTGTGCCAGGCCTCAGGGGAGCTCACCTGTCCGTCTCCGCTTCCTGCTGGCAGTAGGCTGCGTAAGAGATGATGTTTTCATGGTTGCATCGCTCCGTGGCCAAAGCACCGACGTAAAGGACGAAGTCTGCGTCGCGGACGCCCTCCGGGTGCAGCTCGACCTCTGCCATGCAGGGCCACTTCCCCCCACGGCACACCCTGCACGGCTGCCCAAGGGACAGAAAGAACAGAGGAGACCAGTCAGCGGGCATGGCGAGCTCATGGGAACCTAGACTCTCAGTACTCAGTACAGGATGGCCTCTACTTACGGTCTCTAAACCTTTGCAAGATCCATACACCACCAGGCACAGAATGTGTGGTGTCAGGCATTGGGAGGCTGAGGCAGGAGGCCCCGGCTCCCGTGCCCAGCACCACAAAAACCAGGAACAGAAGCTGCAGTGCAGCACAGATGGCCTCTGCACTGGGAGATGCACTGGTGTCGCTGAACACTCCTGAAAGCCAGAGAGGGACGGGGACCGGTGTGGAGTGCTTTGGTCTGCAGACACTGCAGGCTGCCAAGTCATCGTGAGAAATTTCAGTCTCCTGTTTGCTGAGCTGTGTTGGGATTGTGGCTTATTTACAGAAGTTCTTTGTTTAAGTCATCCTTGATCAAAATATTTGTTCTGGGATGGCGACATTACTTTTATGGTTACTCCCTACCTGAAATTTGTTCCCCTGATAGTGATCGGAATGTGCTATAGTCGTAATCTTATAACTTCTTGTTTCTATCGAATTAATATAGTTAACAGGATATATAAAGGAAGGTTTTTTATAAAAGCTTTAGACCTTCTCCCAAGATAATAAAGAAGCTTCAAAAGGATCCTGAGTGTTACATACTTTCTTGCTGGCAAGCGGCTCGCGACAACTGGTGCCGAAACCCGGGACGCTGGGAATAATCTCAAGACAACAGATCCAGGCATCGGAGAAGGTCCCTGTGCTAAACAGGAGGATTCAGAACTGAGGCGACCTACATAAGGAAGGTAAGTTATCCTGGAGAATGGGGGCAATACAGTCCTCTCCTTTTTTGAAAATCCTGAAAAAATTATTGAAGATCCAAGGGCTATCCCTCTCAGATTCTTTTCAGCAACAATTTCTGAATGACATCCAGGCGGCAACACCTTGGTTTGAAACATCAGGAAAGATAACTAAGGAGGCTTAGAAGGAATTGGGAGCCCAATTAAAGATTCTAAGAACGGAAAAAAAATTAAGGCCAGGAGTTTATTCTTTATGGAGAATTATTGATACATATTTTGAAGATGAGAGGTGTTCAAATGTGTTAAGAGATGGACAACTGGCCCTCGAACAACACCAAGATAGCTTATCAGAACCAGAGCAAGATAAGAAAAAAGACAAGTTGCCCAATAGACAGGGGCAAAATGAAGAAGCTCCGGATACTCACAACCAGGGGTCCGGAAGCCCAAGGGGGGAGAAAAGGTTATATCCCTCCCTGGCCAGGTTTAAAAAGTCATATAAAGATATAAAAATAGAAGCTCAAATACAAACTTTAACTTTGAATTCTTCTACTTCATCATCCTCAACCGAGGAAGAGGAAAAAGAAGAAAGGGGAGACAAAAGGAAAGAGGAAAGGTGTTATCCCTCACTAAATAGGGAATTAGGGTTCAGGGAAGCACCACCATACCTCGCTGAAACTATGTCACCATCTGGTGATAGTTCCTTTATAACAAAGAAAACCCGTTACACCCTTGTTTCAGCGTTTCCTATTTTTGAAGATGCAAATCAACAACGATATCATGAACCTATCTCTTTGGAACAGGTGAAAACATTGGTGGAGGCAATGAAAACCTATAGAGTTAATGCTACTTACACACAGGTCTTAGTAGAGCGCTTGAATAGTCTAACCATGACGCCCAGTGATTGGTTTGGACTAGTCAAGGCTTACCTAGATATGGGCCAATATTTAGATTAGAAATCTTTATATCATAAAGGCTATACCACCACACTGGCTATCAGAGAAGCCGGTTTGGGTTCCTCAATGGCCTCTTATCTCTGAAAAATTGAAAGCCGCTCATGATCTAGTCGCTGAACAAATGCATTTAAGTCATTTAGAAAAATCTATTTCACCTTAGAATACACCAATTTTTATAATAAAAAAGAAGTCAGGAAAATGGAGATTGTTACAAGACTTGAGAGCTATTAATAGACAAATACAGGTGATGGGAGGTTTACAAAGAGGACTTCCTTTGTTATCAGCGTTGCCAAAGGATTGGTTTATTATTATAATAGATATCACAGATTGTTTTTTCTCCATACCTTTAAATGTTAAAGATAGACCACGCTTTACATTTACATTACCTGCCATTAATCATACAAAACCAGACGCTAAATATCAATGGAAAGTGTTGCCACAGGATATGGCCAATAATCCAACATTATGCCAATTATATGTGACTAATACCATTCAACCAATTAGAGACAAATATGAAGAATTAAAAATTTATCATTATATGGATAATATTCTGCTGTGTGGAGATTCCCAGGAACAAATACAACAAACTTATTCAAATTTAAAAAGAGCTTTAAGACATGAAGGTTTATTCATATCTCCATCTAAAATACAAATGGGAGATTCAATTTCATTCTTGGGGTCAAAAATATTCCCTCACAACATTAAGCCACAAAAGGTCACAATTAAAACAACTCAATTATCCACCTTAAATGATTTTCAAAAATTATTGGGAGATATAAATTGGGTTCATCCATTTTTGAAATTATCCACAAAGAAATTACAGCCTCTTTTTAATATTTTGGAAGGGGACTCAAATATAACCTCTCATAGGGAATTAACAGATTCAACACGAGAAGCCCTGAAAAAGATAGAAGATACAATTACAAGAACTCAATTAATAAAGATTAATCCAAATAAAAGATTTAGTTTATATGTTATCTCCACTGATCAATATCCCACAACAATTCTATGACAAAATGGACCTTTACTTTGGATACATCAGAATACATCATCAAATAAAGTGTTATCTTATTATCCTGAAGCCATTACTCAAATCATAATAAAAAGATTACAAACAACAACAATACATTTTGGAGATTATCCAAAAAAGATCATATTGCCTTATACCCAGGAACAACTTAAAGTGCTTTATTCTTGTGTAGATTCTTGGACCATTTTAAGATGTGCTTATGATGGAAAATTTGATAATCATTACCCACAACATCCACTTTTACAGTTTACATTATATAAACATCTCATTTTTCCAAAGAAAACCATATCACAGCCCATACCACATACTTTAACAATCTACACGGATGGGTCAAATACCAATATTGGTACCTATATAATAAATAAAAAGTCTTTTCAGAAGACCTATGAATTTAAATCACCTCAACAAATAGAATGTGCCATAGTTGCTCATATATTACAAGAATATCAAGAACCTTTAAATATATTCAATGATTCTTACTATATAATCAATACAATTAATAAATTAAAAGCCACAAAAAATATTTCTTCAAATAATCCAATAAAGGCTCTTTTTGAACAAATAAGATCTATTATCATGGTGCGTTCCACTCCTTTCTTTATTCAACATTTGCGAACACATTCTTTACTTCCTGGGCCTATGGCAAAAAATAATAAATTAACAGACATGGCTACTAAACACATCCTACTCTCCTTTGAAGAGCAGGCAGAACAATTTCATTCCCTATATCATGTTCCATCAGCCACATTACGCCGACGTTTTCCAATTACGCACAATCAAACCAAACAAATTACATCACAATATAAGACCTGTGCTCCTTACCATACTGTGCCTCATATAAATATAAATCCACGAGGTTTAACACCTCTTCATTTGTGGCAAATAGATGTTACTCATATTTCCAATTTTGGCACATTAAAATATGTGCACGTTTCTGTGGATACTCATTCAGATATTATTTTTACATCAACCCATACAAGAAAAAAAGTAAATCATATAATCACTCACTGTCTTGCTGCTTGGTCTACTTGGGGAAAGCCAACCACCATAAAAACAGACAATGGGCCTACCTATACTTCAAATTCATTTAAAAAGTTCTACACTATAATACAAGTTAATCATGTTACAGGATTAACATATAATCCACAAACACAAAAAATTATAAAACATACTAATGACACCCTTAAAAGTTATCTTCAAAAACAAAAAAATGCCCTAGTTCCAACATTAAAGCCTGGGGCTTCTTTATCTCTGATAATGTTTACCCTAAATTTCTTAATACTAGATGAGGCTGGAAACTCTGCTGCCGACAGACACGCCTCCAAAGCTGTTACAAATACTAAAACCATTATGTGAAAAGATATTTTAACAGACCAATGACATGGACCAGATCCTATATTACACAGATCCAGGGGAGCTATTTGTATTTTTCCACAGAAACGTTCAAATCCCGTCTGGGTCCCAAATCGGCTAACACATCACTATCCTCTCATTGACAAGATTTCCCAGCCAAAAACATGAAATTCTACTTATAAATATATTATCAACTCTTTCTTCTAATCACTCCAACAAATTCTTGGACTCCAGATATCCCAATAACTCTTTTAGACCAAAATGTTACCCTACAATGACCATGGGATTGAAAAAATACTACAGTGCCAAGACAACAAGATTCCATTAGTTATTATACAAATACGGCTTGTTCCCTCATAAATATTACTGCCAACTCAACTAATACCCTCACCAAAAAATTTAAAAAAATCAAATACAAAAATATATTATTTGGGACTTCACTTATTAATATTACTATATCCTCCCTTGTGAATTTTACTTATTATTCCATAAATGCCTCTTTTCCTACTAATTATAAAATAAAATTATTAGATACTATATCTCATTACAATACAACGAGATAAAATAATAGTGGTTTTTTACAAATTCATAAATCTCAATTTATTTGGTGTCCCCATATATAATGGATTAACCCAAATAATAAAACCCTATTTATTGTCACATTCCATTAATATTTATTTACTTACTGTTTATCCTATTATAAATTTTTCTGTCATTTATAAAATAGAGCCACAACATATATGTCTAATAAATGCTAATACTACTAATTTGTTACGTATGGGACTCCCTATCCCCTTTTCAGATTATATACAAAAATTAGATTTATTATATTGATATGGTTCCCTATATTACTTATTACCTAAATTAAATAATAATATCAATATTCAATGGGTGCCACAATATTTACGGCCACCCCATCTATATTTAAAATTATCATTGACTAAAATACTTCGCAATTCTGAAGAATTGCACTCACATTTACAAAAAAATGAAAAGACTTTAAAAAAATATAAAATAACTACGACAATTATTAAAAATAAATTATTAAATCTACATAATACTATCATACAAAATTCCAATCATAAATGGTGGGAGTTCCTATTTCAATCTTCTTCCAATTTAAAAATGATTATTTATAAATTTATTACTCTATTTTATATTTTATTTCTTCTTCTGGACATTATTTATAATTATCAATATTAGATGACTCGACAACGACAACAACAACAACTCCATCTATTACAACAGGCCTTTTTGGCCACTGATTTGAACATCTCCCCTCATTTCTAACTCACTCAAATAAAATAGTAATCAAAGACGGATAAGATCTAAAATCATCAATGATCAACCTAAGACAAAAATTATATCTCTTAAATCTAAATACAATTCTCAATGACAAATAAAACATTGTTTAAATCCTAGACAACCTAAAACAGACATATTCCTAAACCATTGTTTTATATAAAAAAAAGATGAGATGTGGAGTGCTTTAATCTACAGACACTACAGGCTACCAAATCATCGTGAGAAATTTCAATCTCCTATTTACTGAACTATGTTGGGATTATGGCTTATTTACAAAAGTTCTTTATTTAAATCATCCTTGATCAAAATATTTATTCTGGGATGGCGACATTACTTTTATAGTTACTCCCTACCTAAAATTTGTTCCCCTGATAATAATCAAAATATACTATAATCATAATCTTATAACTTCTTATTTCTATCGAATTAATATAATTAACAAGATATATAAAAAAAGATTTTTTATAAAAGCTTTAGACCTTCTCCCAAGATAATAAAAAAACTTCAAAAAGATCCTAAATATTACATACTTTCTTACTGGCAAGCGGCTCACGACAGACCGGCATCCTCTCTGTAACAAACTGACCTTCCTGCACCTTTGTGCTTAACTCTGAAAATGTTCTGGTGGAACAGAGCCAGAGTCTCCCTACGCTAAGGTAAAAATACCACTAGACCAGACTCAGTGGTGCACCCCGGAATCCCAGCTACTCTGGAGGCTGAGGCAGGAGGATAGAAAGTTTGAGGCCAGACGGGCAACCGAGCCAATCAGTAAGACCCCGCCTCAAGATGGAAAGTACTGGGGTATAGCTTGGTGGTGTGCTCGCCTAGCGCCTCTGGGCCTGGGTTTGATCCCCGCACTGCACACATGGCTGTGGAGAGGGGTTACCTGCAGGTGCTCCTCGGGCACCGCTACAGGGCCGCACTGGGTCTGAGCTGCGCATTCCCCGGTGCAGTAGCGGTGAGGGTCGTTTTCCTTCCGCAGGTACTGATTTGTGGCACACTGTCTGGTTTGTTTGTAAGACAAGTTCGATTGCAAAAGAAAAAGAAAATCAGCTGGGATTAGAACCATGGTAATGAACCGGGAGCTGCAATGTTACTTCAATGACAGTGGTTACTATTTCAGCCAGGCCAGTATGCTGAGAAAGGAGTTTAGTTCTAATGGGAATCTGCCTGAACTGGGTTCTCCAACACCCAAATACGTGTGTATGCGCGTGTGTGTGTGTGTGTGTGTGTGTGTGAGCGCGCGCGCACGTACACGTGTGATTTGAAACTGGGTCTCACTATGTAATTTAGGTTGGCCTCAAATGTGTAATGATCCTCCTGCCTCAGCCTCCTTAGGGTTGGGATTACAGGCCTGTGCTGCCACACCCATCCCAAATACTTCATAAAGCCAACAGGGTGGCCAAGTAAAGGAGGGAGGAAAGGGTCTGGAGAACAGAGGAGGACACTGCAGCAAAAGATCTAGTCGGGTGCCCCCTATTGGAAAACCAGGGGTGCAAGGATGACTGGCAGGTGCTTTTCCTTGCTTTCTTTTTGTTCTTTTGGTATTTTTTGGGTACCGGCGATTGAACTCAGGTCCTTGCGCTTGCAAGGCAGGCCACTGAACCACTGACCTAAATCCCTGGCCCGTTTCCTTGCTTTCTATGCCCTGGGGTAGCACACCCTGCCACAGAGAATGAGCGGCCAACAGAGAGCTCAAGGGACAAAGACACCTCAGGGCTGCAAGTGACACGACAGAACCTACCTGCTGAGCAGGATGGTGCCAGCAGGTCTGCGGACCTGGAAAGTCTTCTCCAAGTAGGAAATTGCTTGTGGGAAAAGCTTGTTCTAAATAAAAATTGAACACACAAACCCAGTCAAAATGACAGTCAAGGGATCACACGAAGTACTCAACAGGAAAGACTTAGGACGAGAGAGCAAAGCCCCAGTTCTGGGAGACTGCAGGCAGCATCAGCAGGGGGCCTGCGGTCAGAGACCCCTCATTTCTGGCTGAGCTTGGAAAGAGAGCAGAGACAGAAAGTCCTGCCCTCCCATTTCAGTAAGATGGGGAGACAGAAATCTTAACTACTCATCTATACTGCTTCAAATCTGAGGCTGATTTAGATTCCACTATTAAAGTGGTCAATATAAGCAAAATCCTGTTTAAGATTATCCAAACCAGCATGGTGGTACATGCCTGTGATTCCAGCACTTGGGAGGCTGAGGCAGGAGGATCTTGGAGAGTTTGAGGCCAGCCTGGGCTACACAGCAAGACCCTATCTCAAAAAACAAATAAACAAAAAAAGATTACCCAACTTCTACGGTCCCAACAACCTGGCTTCACGTGCATAAGTGTGACTCCAGAGGTAAAAGTGGGTTGCAGTTGTACCTGCAATGGTCACCCCTACTCAGGGGAGTCACACAAGCAAGTCATTCATCTTTATGGATGAAGATTCCCAAAGAAAATGGAGCCTCTCAAGCTATTTGTCTTTTTTTTTTTTTTGCAGTAGGTACTGGAGATTGAAACCAGGGTCTTTACAATGAGCCGCATCTCCAGCCCTTTTTATTTTTTATTTGAGACAAGGTCTCATTAATTCACTATGTTGCCCCAGCTGGGCTCAAACTTGGCACCCTCCTGCCTCAGCCTCCTGGAGTACTGGGATTTGTTTGCTGCTGTTTTGAGTCAGGGGCTTGCTCTGTAATTCAGGTTGGACTTGATCTCACTATGTAGCCCAGGCTGACCTCAAAGTTGCAGTGATCCTCCTGCCGCAGCCTCCCCATGGCTGGGATTATAGATGTGCTCTACTACAACTGGTTCTCAATGTGTTTCAAAAATTGTCCTTTTCACTCTATCCTTAGCATGCCTTGTTCCCAAAACACTTGAGATAGCCAGTTAAAAAATGAGAAGACAAAAAAAAAAAGTTATCAAACCATGCAGTAAGGCAACAGATGTACGATCACACAGCAACACAGCCTGGGTGAGCGCATAAGTTAACATCAAACCATGCAGTAAGGCAACAGATGTACGATCACACAGCAACACAGCCTGGGTGAGCGCATCCCAGACACCCAGGGGACATAACCAACATCCACTCCTGACACCTCTGCCCCAGGTGGGCTGGGAGGCTACACGCTGAGCTGTGCTTCTCACCTTCACGAGATGCCTCTTCTCATCAAGCAGCCTGCAGAAGGGGACAGGAGAGGTGAGAACTGTGCCATCCCACCCGCTCTCCCTGTTCCGCCCCATCTGTGAGTCCTGGAGCCCGCAGGACCACACCTGGTCTCCAGAGCCTCCCACTCGGTGAGCACCAAGAGACTCCCAGGCCTCAGGCACAAGGTACAGCCACAGTCAGTCACACACTATGGGGGGGGTTGACCCACTGGAAAGGCACCCACGGCTCCCACTGCTCTTCCAAACTATGAGACTCTAATTTAGCCATTTTCTGTTGTTTTGCTTCATCTGGTTTTTTGAAACAGGGTCTCACTATGCAGTTCAGGCAAGCCTTGAACTCACCATGTAGCTCAGGCTGGCCTCAAACTCAAGGAAATCCTGCCTCAGCCTCCTGAGTGCTGGGACTAAAGGCATGCGCCACCATGCCCAGTAAAAATTTATCCATTTTCCAGATCCCTTATAATACAGAAAAATTAGACTTGTTACTAATGTGTGAACTTTTAAAATCATGGTTGATATTAGTACCTCCTCCTATTTTTCCTCCAAGTACCTACTGACAGGTGACTTCCGGTGTGTTACTGACACCAACCAAACAGATGCACTTTGCTTTATTTAAACATTCATGATGTACTTGATCTTTTTTTTTGACCCGGGATCAAACTCTGGTCCTTGCACTTGCAAGGCAGGTGGTGGAACCACTGAGCCAATTCCTTGCCCCATGATGTACTGATCTTAATCCTACCTAATACACTTTAGCTTTTCTGCCTAAAAAAGTGTTTCAGCTTAATTTCACACATTTTTATTTTTTTGTACTGGGGCTTGAACCTGAGTCCTTGTACTTCCAAGAAAGGCAGTGGAACCAATGAGCTAAATCCCCAGCCCCTAGGAGAAAATGAAAAAATGGAAATAAAATGTTTGTAAATGGGGAGGTGAAGGGAGGGCAGGGACAAGGGGAAAAAATGAGAACAAAGACCTGTCATGTAAAGGTACAAGATTCCAATGATGAATGTAACTGTACTGTGTACCTAAAATGTACCGATAAACTCAATGAGGAAAAACAATTTAAAAAAAAAATCCCCAGCCCCTAGCTTAATTTCATTTTAAATCTACTAGCCCTTTTTTCGTTCCATCTAAGGACTTATCTTTCTTGTACTGGAGTTTCTGGTACTGGAGGACCTCACGAATGCTAGGCATGCTCTAACACTGAGGTACTTACTTAGCCAGCCCTTTTTATTTTTTTATTTTGAAATAAGGTCTTGCTAAATTGCCTGGCTAGCCTCAAACTTGGGAAGCTCCTGCCTCAGCCTCCCAAGTAACTGGGATCACAGGTGTGGGCCACCATGTACAGCTCCCTATCTGGTCTTTCTTACTTCAGGCAACAGATGAAAATAAAAACTGGGTGTGGCAACACACGCCTGTGATCCCAGCACTTGGGAGGCTGAGGGAGGAGGAGGGCAGTGAGTTTGAGGCCCTGGGTTACACAGTGAGACCCTGTCTCAAAAAACCAAAGAAACTAAAAATCTTTCATATTTAGATTGACAATAAAAAAGATGACAAAGTGGGACAGGGATGCATCTCAGTGGCACCGCTCCTACCAGGCAACAAGCACAGGTCCAGAGTTTGATCCCCAGTGCCGAAAGGAAAAAAGAAAAGACAAAGTAATAGTGTACTTACTCCTCAATACTTTTATCGTAGACAGTCTTGATTCTCAAATGGTCATCAGCACCTCTCTTTACAACATGATTCATTTTAAGATGAACCTTATTTATGACCTACAAAAAAGAATAATTTGAAGTTATTTAAAGACATGCATATTTATAGAAGTAGAATTTACATATTTAGAATATACCCATTTGATTAGCCAAATGAGATTCAAAGTTGAAATAAATGAACCAATTTTTTTTTTTTTTTAGTACCAGGGATTGAAGTTGGGACTTTGCACTTGTCTGGCAGGTGGTGGAACCACTAAGCTAAATCCCTAGCATTTCTTTCTTTTTTTTAATTTTTATTTTTTATTTTTGAAACAGGGTCTCACTACATAGCCCAGGTTGGCCTCAAACTCGCAGCGATCCTCCTGCCTCAGCCTCCCAAGTGCTAGAATTACAGGACCACTTGGTACTAGGCAGAACTAGGGAAACTGTTTAGGGAGAACTCTGGAGACTTTCAGCAGCTTGCCGCTAATACCCTAAGTACTCTCAGTATTCAGCTAGTTCAGCTAAGAGGCACAAACAGAAATAGTGGGTGGAAGTATCAGGAATTCTGCTTCATAAAAAAATTTTCTTTTTGTTTTAAGCGTAGGAAGCTATTTATTGACAGGAAAGTTCCCGAGGGGAGGAGGGGACCTGAGTTGGTAGCCCGGGGACTCCACTTTAGAGGGAGTTTTACAGGGTAAAACCCATGTGGGTAGAACGTGGGCCACACCCGTGATCATCCAAAAAGGTTTCAGGTATAGTCAGTTAGGTAACGGTGGTCCAGTTGGGAAACAAGTCACATAACAGTGTGGATGGAAAGGACAAAGATTCTCCTAGAAAGTGGGGGTCCAGAGGTTTCTCTCTGGTCACCCACCAGGGTGGCTGATGTCTGTCTAGACTTCGGTAGGCCCAGTGTTTGTTCTCTGAGGAAGTACGCAGGTCTGGTCATCTTGCCTTTATCTTGAGTCCCAGTTTTCAGCAGATGTTTCTCCAGTGCAGCTGTGGTGTGTTTCACCTTTGTCCTCACCCTCTCCAGGATCCAGCCTGTAATATTTCTACCTAGCTCACCGATCTATAATACAATCACATATCACTTAACTCAGGGCAGATTCATTCTGAGAGTTGCATCATTAGCAGTTTCATCACTGTGTGAGCACCAAAGGGTGCACTTGAACAAACTAAGACAGCTATGGCATGAGCAGGAGAAATAATCTAACGGGACAACCATCAAGTGTGCAGTCTGTAGTGAACAGACATGTGGAAAATGACTACAACAATGTGCTGAGTATATCAAAGCCCAACTCTGTAATACATTTCTATAGCTCAGTAAGTGAACATCCAAACATCTATGTGTGCATTTCCTGTAATACGCAGTGAGTTCTGTAAAGTTTAGAGGGTTTAGTGTAAGATTCTGGGTCTTACTGAAAAGAAGGACTATATGCACAATAAATTTGTGCTGGAAATCTTTTCTGTTTGGTTGTAAGTTAATATTAAAGCTTTCATGAGAGCACTTCATTAAGATTTATTTTCTTCATATTTTCTGTTTTAACCAATAGATGTTTTCAGTGTTCAGAGGATATCTTCTGAGTTATAAATATAAATATGCAGCAGCCATACCAGTGGTATCATGGTGGTGCACACCTGTAATCCTAGCACTTGGGAGGCTGAGGCAGAAGGATCCAAGTGAGTTTGAGACCAGCCTGGGATACATAAGGAGACCCTTTTCTTGACCACATCCTCAGGGAACCACAAAATGGCTTTCCTTGACAGTTTTGGAGGTGCCAGTCCTTGATTGGGTGGACACATGCATTTTGGGCATCTCAGTGAGCAGGATGTGACGACAGGAGCGTGTGTAGCAGAGCAGGACTGTTCACCTGAATTAGAAATGGAACGAGTGTAAAGACAGAACTTTTGGTGGTTTTTTGTTTGTTTGTTTGTTTTGGTACTGGGGATCAAACTCGGGTCCTTGCACTTGCGAGTCAGGCTCCAGAACCACTGAGCTAAATCCCCAGCGCTAAAGACAGAAATTTTGGTGTCCAAGCACAACCCACTGAATCAGAATGGAGCCTTCAGCTTTCATCAAATTCCAGGTGATTTCTACACACACTTGACTTTGAGAACTACTGAGCTGAGTCGTTTGTCACAACTTTAGAGTTTATCTGATGAACTTCAGGGCTTGTGAAAGCACAAGGCTGGGTATGGCTCTCAGAGTTTCTGATTCAGTTCACTGAGTGGTGCTCGATAATTTGCATTTCTCCCAAGTTTCAGAACAATGATTTTGTTGCGTTTCTGGAGATCAGACTTAGAGGACCACTAGAGAAAGTCTTGGGATCTTAGAGAAAAATGATGCAAACTGCTACTGTTTGAATCTTGAATGTCCCCCACAAGCCCATATGCTAAGGTTCTGTTGCCAGTCTGTGGCACTAGTGGAACCTTTCACAGAAAGAATTTTCACAGTTGTCATCTCCACAAAACAAAGAGGCTGCTAGAAAAAAATAGCTACTAAGTGTAGCAACAAAGCGGCTGAAATTCTCAGCACCTAATCTCAGCTGACACACTTCCGCCAGCAGCGAGGGACAGATACTAACTGCACCAAGGACTAAGGAAGCAGCATAAGATAGAAGTAGGTCCACAAACCACCCTTTCCTCCCTGAGCTGATACTGCATCTTTCCCAAAACGGCTCAAATAAACACACAGCCCCATCGAAACCTGAAGAGCCCTTCTGAGGCCTAAGCAAAAGTCCTGGAGAGTTTGCAACTTTGACACACAACTTTAGTCACCATCCAGGTGTCCAGAAGATTTAACAGGAACAGGACGCCCTGGAAAAGCCCCCGCTAAGACATCTGCATCTGCCAACCCTTCCACATACCTGCAGACTGCTTCCCATGTCTTCCTGCCCTTATAAAAACCCTGACTCACTGGGCACAGATTTGGCTTGGTTCTGCCACCTGCCTCACAAGTGCAAGGGCCCGAGCTCGAACCCTGGTACCAAACACAAAAAACCCTTTGCTGGGGATTTAGCTCAGTGGTTCTGGAGCCTGCCTCACAAGTGCAGAGATTTGGCTTGGTTCTGCCACCTGCCTCACAAGTGCAAGGGCCCGAGTTCGAACCCTGGTACCAAACAAACACAAAAAACCCTTTGCTGGGGATTTAGCTCAGTGGTTCTGGAGCCTGCCTCACAAGTGCAAGGGCCCGAGTTCGAACCCTGGTACCAAACAAACACAAAAAACCCTTTGCTGGGGATTTAGCTCAGTGGTTCTGGAGCCTGCCTCACAAGTGCAAGGGCCTGAGTTCGATCCCTGGTACCAAAAAAACAAAACAAAACAAAAAACCCTGACTCTCACCTTGCCTGTGTGATTCTCTCTTGGAAACTGGCCTGCAGTCCCTCTTGACAGTGTACTCTGCAGCCCAAACTCTTACCTTTCCTAGACAGTATTCTTTGTCATTTGGTAAATTCATAATTTTTTGTTTGTCTTATTATGAATGGGTCTCACTATATACTCCAGGTATATATACTATATACCTTGAACTTGAAGGAAATCTTCCTGCCTCAGCCACCAGAGTGCTGGGATCATAAACCTGAGTGCGCCACCACTCCAGCTCTGCTAGTTTTACCCACCAGCATGACAGGCACTCTATATGTCATCTGGCACAGCACTAAGGAGTACAAAGATTTTACAGGTGTTTGAACTACTTTCTCCTATTTTAATCTAAATTCAAAGAAATGCAGGGTTTTGTGGAATTTTTCCTTTTTTTTAAAAGAATTCAGCCAAAGTGCAGTGTCAAGATAAAAGACACAATACAAGCACAAACTTCAAACTTAATGTTTTAGCTTATATAGTTATGAATAATATGCATATAGCATTTTTGGAAATTACCACAGAAATGAGTGGGCTTAGACTCCTAGGAAGAAGTGAAAATTTCTACATGAATCTTACTTGCTAACATATTAAGGCAAATTACAAAGCCGATTGTACAGGCAGCCCTGCTTTGGGTCTTCCTTTTACGGAAGAATGCTGATGATTGCGAACCCATCTCTGAGCTAAGTATCGCAAAGGAATCAAAGCGTAAGACGCACACCTTGTCCCAAGTAACCTTACAATTTAAGGACAGAAGCAAGACGTGCCTGAACAATGAGCCAGGGCTTGGTCTAGCGCCAGGAGAGAGGTCAGGTAGGGCGTCCTGTGGAGTGGAAGGGACACGGGCTGCTCAGGGGGCTGACACCTAGGGAAATGAAGCTGATTCGTTTAGGGAGAGACGTGTGGAGAGAAGGAGGCAGGAATTTCCAGGGCAGGGGGCAAGGGAGGTGCTAAAATAACTTGAAAATGTTGTCTCCAGAGAATCTAACTATCCCTCCAGCACTTTTGTCTGGCTCGCTACCAATGTGTCCCCCACGCTTTAGAGCAAAGGTTCCTCAAGTGTGTGCCTCGGACAAGCGCCATCACCATTTGGGAACGAGAATTACCAATTCCGCGGCCAGGCCAAACCTTAGTCCCAAGGTGGGGCGGAGGGCAGCGGGCTGCGTCTTCCAGGTGCTGCGGACGGCTCGCTGCACGCCTCAAGTTTGGAAAGCGCTGCTGTGGCGCTGCCGCCTCCCGCTGGGGCCGACGGCGCCACCAGGCAGGGTGCGGGACCCACCTTCTAAGGGCTCGGTCTCCCGAGGGCGCTTCCCCTCCAGACCCCTCCATCACTCCCGCCCCACTTCACCTACCAGCCGCGCCGCTCTCCTCCACCCTACCTCGCTGACAGAGGGGACGTGGTGCCGGCAGAGAGGCGAGCTGCCCAGGGAGATAGAGACGGACGCAGACGCGGAGCCGGCCCACAGGAGCAAGACACCCCAGACCCGCAGCAATCCTCCCGAGGGCGCTTCCCCTCCAGACCCCTCCATCACTCCCGCCCCACTTCACCTACCAGCCGCGCCGCTCTCCTCCACCCTACCTCGCTGACAGAGGGGACGTGGTGCCGGCAGAGAGGCGAGCTGCCCAGGGAGATAGAGACGGACGCAGACGCGGAGCCGGCCCACAGGAGCAAGACACCCCAGACCCGCAGCAATCCACAGAAGGAACGTGCAGCGCAGAGGACCCGATCCCTCCATTCACGGCGCCGGGCGGGCCAATAAGCGCTGCCGGAGGCGCGCCGGGGCAGGGGCTGTGGGAACAGGGAGATGGCCTGGGGATGGCGTGAGGCGGGAGGCTTCACCGAAGAAGCGCGCCAATTCATTCACTCGCCGGGTTGGTGACCACTAGGTGCCAGGTATTCAGGCGGACACGCAGGAAGCTGCGAGGGCCTACGGTGTGGTCGTCCACGTGAAAGGCGAGTGAAACCTATTTGTTTCTCGAGAACTACCGGTTTTAGTCCTATTTAATCAAAGCTATTTCCTATTAAGCCAACTATGCTGTCTACTGTCTCACCTAATCCCTACTTTAGTTTAAGCAAGAATGACAACTGCACTAACTAGCAAGAGTGGATCCTGACCATTCAGGAAACGACCTTCAAATCTAGGCCATCGGGAGCACGGAAGAACTGCAAACAGGGACAGCTCTCCCCGGGGCCCACGAACCCAACAAGGAAGGCCAGGAACCGAAGGGGGTGCGGGGGTAGCCCCGTGAGAAGAGCGCTCACCTGTCCTGAGTGCAGGCCTGGGCGAAGGGAAAAGCACGAAACCAGCTGCCACACCATCGATCGACATTGTGAATTACTGAGAAACTACTCACCAGCTATTGGTGGTGTAGACATCAACAGTGGAGTTTCCAGCACACTGGGACTCTACCCCCTACAAATGTGACAGGCACTGAGATTCGCTCTCCTCTGCACGCCTAACCCACGTCTGAAGCATCCATCTGCCTTGGACACGTCCACACCTAACTCCCTACAGCTTCCTGGAGTTCAACTTTGCAGAGCTGAGACCCACAGCCACCACCCAGCCCGACTCACCACCTTGCCCAGCCCTGTAAAGCCAGCAAATCAGCAGGCAAAGCCAGGCTGTCCTAGAGGCCGCTAGTTACTCTTGCAGTTACCATTTATTTACTTGTGGAATCTGCTCCAGAACCCATTTGGAGTGCAAAGCCGATTTCCCAACTACAATCATTTGAAAAATCAAAGGGACTACAATATTGCTTATAATCCTCCACCACCAATCTCTAGAGCAAGCAAGCTAATCTGCAGTGGCTTACCTAGGTTTACTGTCACACTACAACAGGCCTCTCCTACATATGCTTTGTAGTTCTAGTTACATAAGGTACATCTATTTTGCTTTTTTTGAGACAAGATCTTGCTGTGTAATCCAGGCTGGCCTAATTCATGGCAATCCTCCTGTCTCCTCCTCCCAAGTACATGGAATAGAGGCCATGTGCCACCAGCCAGTAAATTTTTTTGGGGGGGGTTGAGACAAGGTTTCACTATGTAGTTGAGTGACCTGGAACTCACTATGTAGCCCAGGCTGGTCTCGAACTCCCAGTGATCCTCCTGCCTCAACAGAGTGCTGGGATTACAGGCATGCGCCACCACACCCACCTAGTAATTTTTTTTGCCTGTCTCACAGTATGTCACATCTGCTTAACTGGTACAATGAGCACTGTAGGAACTCTTCCTCAGTTTTGGAAAACTAAATCTTGGTAGCATAGGTCCAAAGTGGGCACTCCTTGCCCCTGAACCTCGATTCTCCAAGTTTAATTTCCTTTCAGTTTACCAAATTCCAACTGGTGGTGCACTTCATGCACAACTCAGATCCGGAGCAGCTGAACAACGGCCCCAAGCTGCCTCCTTCCAATTCATTCGTTCTGTCTTGAGGCTGTACTAAAAACGGGCCTGGTGGTACAGATCCAAGTTCAATTCCATGAACCAGGTAACAGCTAGAATGGGACGGTTAGCTGAAGGACCACTGGACTTTCCAAACCTTGGAACTGCATGTAGCTCTCCCTACCAATCCTCCAAGGTCTTTCCTCCACTTCTAGTATGCTTGTCCTTTTCTGACATTTGACAAGAAAACTCAAGTTTCAAAACTTCAAAGAAGCTGTTTGGCAAATTTCGTTTTCAGCAAGCATTTTTAGCAAAATATAAATATGTTAAAAACTGCTACTGTGTCAAGTAATCTACAACTGTACTCCCAACTGATGCCCTATTTCAATCCCACCCCCACCCCAGAACCAGGAATCAAACTCAGGACCTCGCCAGGCAGGTGCAACACCACTGCACTCAATTCCTGGGCCTTAAGTTTTTTTAACATCACTTTAAACTATTCTGGTGCCTGGTTTACCTTCCTTTGTGACAAGCTAAAATGCTTCAATGGGCACCACATTCTATTAAAACATGAAACCAAGACTAGTAGAGTGAGCACGTGTGTGTACGCCCAATATGGGATGCAGAGGCAGGATGAACCAGTGGCCAGGCTCGGCAACCTAGTGAAACTGTCTCAAAGTAAAAAGAAACCAGGAAAGCCACTTGACTGGTGCTGTTTCTTCTGAGGCGGTATAAGGCTACTCTGTCCAGTGACACAGTGAAATGGTTCGCCAAGTCACACACCCCAAGGACGTGCCCAGCAATCCAATCCCCAATGGGATCGTTCCCACTCTCATTTCTGCTAAGCCTCCCCACTATTCAGCAATGAACAAGTACAGACCACTGCACGCTGCTTTAGGTTTCCTTTCTGCACTGCTGTAGAATCAACCAGGGCCTCGAGACTGCACAGGTCACGCTGACCCACACCCCCAGCTCCTAAGAGAGAGCTTATACTTCTTGCTCCACGTCCCCAAAGCAGATTTAACCTCCCCAATATGCCCTTGTGTTGGTACTCACAGAAAAACCCCTATCGTCCTGTATTCCTTGTACTCAGAAAATACTGGACCTTTCCCACATGGCAACATAATTCAGGACAAAAAGTTTTTAAAACCACTTAAAAAATACAAGAGCATAAATCCATTTTTATTTTATCATTAGTTTAAATCCTTGATGGATACAGCATCTAGTGGGGAAAAAAAGAAAAAAAAAAAATTAGGTGAATGTCATATAAATCTACCAACGGTACTGAGCACCTTAATATGGGTAACTCTCCTGTCATTTCATTACTCATCTGGAAAAGACATCAAATGACATATCCTAGGGCAAGGGCAAGAGAACCAAGTTTTTATGACAGTTGTCTTCTAGGTGAACATGCTTAAAAGCCTGCACTTGCAAAGAAACACACAAAGTACATTTACTTTTGCTTCTTCTAATAACTGAATTAAAAACGCTCCTGACAAGTATCAATTATTCACTGGGTTCAACAGTACCCTATGGATGCTGGGCATGGAGGTGTATGCCTGCACTCAGGAGGATGAGGCAGGAGGACTGCCAACAGTTTGAGGCCAGCCTGAACTACACAGAGACACTTTCTCAAAAAAATAAAAACAGGTAAGCCAGGCGTGGTGGTGCACGGGAGGCTGAGGCAGGAGGATCGCTGAGTTAAGAGACCAGCATGGGCTACATAGTGAGTTCCAGGTCAGTCTCAGCTACATGTAAATGAGACCCCCATCTCAAAAAATAAAAACAAATAAAACAATAATTATTTTAAAAGTTAATTAAATAAATAAATAAAAATAGGGCCAGGGATTTACCTCAGTGGTTCTGCCACCTGCCTCTCAAGCATAAGGACCAGAGTTCAATCCCTGGTAACAAAAAAATAAAAATAAAAACAACCTACCAATCAACCAGTACCCTAGGCCCCAAAATTACTATCTACTAAAATAGACCCTAACTAAAGAAAAAGCTGGAGTTACCTGAGGAAAACCTCAGTATCTGGCTGCCAAGACTTGTGCCAAAGTCCTGAGATGTAGGAATGTGAGCATCTGTTCTATGTACAAAATTAAGCTAACGACATCTACTCTACCAGAAGACTGACACCACGGAAATGGTAAATATTAAGAGTTACAGTCAGGGATTTAGCTCAGTGGTTCTGCTGCCTGCCTCGAAAGCACAAGGACCCAAATTCGATCCCCAGTTTAAAAAAAAACAAAAAAAGCAAGGGTGTTGAATTTGCACTTTCTAGCAATTAGTCAGCACCCAACAAAATAACTTTTTAAAAAGCACTTTTTTCTCCAGACAGCTGTAGTGAAATCTAAAACAGGCACAATTCATTTGAACATTTTGCCCTTCACCTTCGTTTAACATGAAAAGAACCCAGATGGTCAGTAATACTCATTTACATAATGGTCACTGATTTTGCAGCACAATTTACTAGTTTCACTTCATAACCACAAGTCTTTGGGAGGTCACAGCCCAACCCTTCAGGTCTGGTTTGACTCCAGAGGCTCGCTCTTCTAGTAACTGTCCTTACCACACGGATTCGGTGTCCAATGGCCTTAGCAGGAAGGTTGCTTCGGAACTTGGCACGAACCATGCCGCTGTTTCCATGGGCTCGAGTTACCTTTCCCCAGATCACTCTGGTTTTGTTTGGTTTGCCACCTGGAGTAACTGTGTTGCTGATTTTAAAGGTAGACAGAAAAGGAATGAGAACTCAGGCTACTATGCTACTGATACAGTTTGCTACAAATTCTTTGTAACCTTTAGACTAGTGGCTCAACAGTGATTAGCCAGAGAAACTGTAAGAAATGCCTGGAATATCCTTTACTTAGATACAGTAACTATTACTAGGGTAAGACTAGGACAGACAGAACCAACAGAGCCCTGAAGACCAAAGAGGAAAAACTTCCAAGATGGTGATGAGGACACCAAGCGCCAAATTCTAGCTGGGATTACAGCAGAAACATGGAACCCTCAGTAAATAGGTTCTTTGAGGCTCCTTAATGTCTTTGGCTTTGCTGGAATGAGATGAATTCTGGAGTTAAAGCAAGGTACATGGCCTCATGAACCCAGGGCCTGCACATGCTAGCCAAGTGTGTACCACAGAGCTCCATCTCCAGAGTGTTAACTGGTCTGGAATGGGCTAGGAACCAAGATCAAGAACCAACATTCTGAACTAGGGTTACAGCTCAGTGGTAGAGGTATGCACAATATGCACAAGGTCCTGGGTTTAAGTCTTGGAGCTGGGGGAACAAATGTTCTACAGATGTAACACCTTAAAGAACATATAAAAATATTTTTAAAATTGCTGGGCATGGGGGCACACACTTTAATCTTAGCACTCGGGAGGCTGAAGGAGGGGGATTACTCCATGTTTGAGGCCAGCCTGAACTACACAGGGAGACCCTATCTCAAATAAAAAAAAAAAAAATTACTGCCGGGAGTGATGGCACAGGTCTGTAATCCCAGCACTCGGGAGGCTGAAGCAGGCACTCTCTCGCTAGGAACTCTCCCTAGGAGTTCGAGACCAGTCTGGGCTACCTAGTGAGTTCCAGGTCAGTCTCAACTACACACTGAGACCCTGTTCCAAAAAAAAAAAAAAATTACTGTAACAGGAATTAAAGTGAATTAACACGTGAGAAATATTTTGTAAATCCTTGAGTACAAAGAAATTAACTCCTTCCTTGAAACAATTCACAGATAGGGCTGAAGATATCTAAATAAAACACTAGCCAACAACCTTTATTCACTTTGTTAAGTTTTCTAAAACCAAAGTAGAAGCTATGGTATCAATTACTTTACCCAGGTCTTTCAACAACAACAAAAAAACTGGCCAGGGATTTAGCTCAGTGGTGCCACCACTTGCCTCTCAAGCAGAAGGTCCAGAGTTCGATCCCTGGTACCAGAAAAAAAAAAAAAAAACAAAACTTGACGCAGATAAAGTAAAAAACTTAAAAGCACAACAAGCTGTAAACTTACTTTTTCGCTTTGTACACATAAGCACATCTCTTGCCCAAGTAGAATTCAGTTTCATCGCGGGCATAAACACCTTCAATTTTAAGAAGAGCTGTGTGTTCCCTTTGGTTCCGGAGACCTCGCTTATAGCCAGCAAAAATGGCCTTGCACCACAGTCTAAAGACACACAAAATCCACATTAAACACAAGCTGTTAAAAAGTTCTCGTTATCCCCGGTACCAAAATAATAATAATAATAATAGTAATAATAATAATAATCTCGTTTATCTCCAACAAACCACCAATATAATTTGACTTGTAATGCACTGTTTGTTGCTCAAAAGTCATCTACAGCAAACACCAAGTATTTTCCCACTAATTTCAAGCTCATTAAGGTCTACATTGAAATGAAAAACAAAGTATATTTAAAACGTTTACCTTCCAGACATATTTGCCTTTCAGAAGTCCTGTTCCCAGCAGACCTTAAATAAAAATGACTGTTTAGAACCAATTTGTTTTTCCCCTTTTAATTTCTTGCTACTTCATTAAGCATGTTAACCAAATCCGTTGATCGGCGTTCTGGGTTACTCTGAGGAAACTTAATTACGCCATGGCATCTATATTAGGGGCACCCCCTGGCAACTCATTCAAACCGCAGAGGACTGAACTGACAGCTAAAGCAAACTGCAAAACGAAAATAAAACTAAGTGCCACAGCAACACGCTAATTACTACAGGCTTCAGTAGAAAATGCTGAGAGAGTTCAGGCCGCTATCAGTAGTCCGAATTAGTTTTAAAATGAAGATTTATGAAGCAATGAGCCACACGGGTTTTTGAAGCAGTGGCTGAGAAGCTGGTGATTGTGGACAAAGATAGCTTTGAAGTGGGAACACATGGGGAAAATCAGCCTAAAGGAGCCACCGCTCTCTGGGCAACTGTAGACACCCGAAGAGTTATCTACTTCACTACTCCCAGGAACCAACTCCGATTACCCGGGCACTCGGTTCTCCCGGCGTGAGGGATACAGCACTATCTGCTTTGCATCTCCCCCATCCCGTCCTCCATGCTCTTGGAATGCACGGAAATCACTGGATGGTAGAATCTCCGAGACGCCCCAGGCCCTCGCCGCGGTATATGGGAAAACAGACCCTGGTTATTTGCCCCCAAGTTCAATACCCGGAATCACCCTCACCTCCACAGGCTCCAAGATGGCGGAAAGAGGAGGGCGAGGCCCCACCGCGTGGCCTTGTGGGAAAAAACTTCCCCGCCCCGCCCCTCTTTTAGACGTCCTCCGCGAACGCCGGAAAAACACGCTACAAAAAGAGCATTTCACCACATTGAACAGCACTCCTAGGGTTCTTTCCCAAAGTCCTTTCATGTCAATATTTAGTTGCACTATTCAGTATTTGGGATTTGAGAGAGGCACTACAGTAGCCATCTAAGGCAGCAAAGGAAAAGGTCCCCCTTAAAAAAAAAAAAGGTTGTGCGTTGCTATACCAACGGTTTAACTGGGAGGTGTTGTCCATCCCGGCCGTACCCTAAAAGGTACTTCTGGATACCGAACGCCCAGCCTGGGATATTTAACGCCCATTTGCGAACATAAGGCGGTCTGTCCCTCTTCCCCACTGCAGTAGAATGAGCGGATAGTCGGATTCTTTTTATCTTTTTTTCTTATTTACTCTTTTATAGCGTTAAAGAAATGACTTAAATGCGGGGCATGTTGGCGCGCGCCTGTGGTCTCAACTAATACTCAGGAGGCTGGGACGGGGAGAATCGCTTGAGCCCAGTATTTCCAGGTCAGTCTCTGGGCTATAGAGTAGTTCAAAGGCCAGCCTGAACTACACAACGAGACCCTGTATCAAAGAAGAAAAAAAGTTGGGGGGAGGCAGAGATTAAAAGAAGCACGACAATAAGCGGAGGCTGAGGCAGGATGATCCCAAGTTCTCAGACCAGTCTAAACAACAGCCACAAAAAGCGGGTGGTGGGAAGAGAGCCTTCCTGGAATATTAAACTGTGCTGTAGGTTGCCCTTGTATGGCTCGAATTTAAAGACGGATACTACACTACCAAAAATGCAGAGTTCTCCGCTGGGGTTTTAGCTCGGCGTCACTATGCCTGCCTGGCAGCATAAGGTCACAACTGAATCCCTAGTACCAGAAAAACAAAAACAAACAAACAAAAACAGTTCTTTTGTCTCCTTCATTTGAGTAAACACTCCTCCCTCAGGAGAGGGTTTTATCTCTTTAGAACTCTATTTAAAGATCACCTAGGAGACTGAGGATCCTGTACCACTATGGCTCCCTTAAGTAGACCAGTAATTAAGCTGATGGTTCAGAGACCTGAATCCCTCACTACCAGTGGTTTTTCCACCCCACGGACTGCTCTCCACTGATAAACATGAGGGGATGAGCCACAGCTCTGGAACTCTTTTATTTACTCTTTATGAAAAGGCATTGAGTTGGATATGATGGCACGTGTCTGTAATCCCAGCTCTCCAGAGGCTGAGGCAGGAGGATTGCCACGACTTCGAGGCCAGCCTGGCCTACACAGCAAGACCCTGTCTGAAAATAAAAATTTTTAAAAAGAGCTAGGGATTTAGCTCAGTGGCATCCTGCCTGCCTCGCAAGTGCAAGGTCCTAAGTTCGATCCCCGGTACAAAAAGGAAAAAAAAGGCATAGAAATAACTGAAACATCACTCAGCACCCCTTAAATCTCATCGTATCCTCATTTCAGGTGACTGCATTTTTCTGAAATTGTAAACATACCGTGGAGGCTGACAAATCTACAGAAGAATGGAAGAACAGTATGTTCAGAATTCCAGTGTGTGTGTGTGTGTGTGTGTGTGTGTGTGTGTGTGTGTGTATTTATCTGTATATTTTTTATTCTGCCTGTGAAGTTTCTGCAGACACCCTCTGCTGTGAAACAAGATGTCCTGGCATGCAGTGACCTAAAATACAGGCTGCGCTCCTGCTCACAGTGCCTGCGGGTCAGCTCTCCATGAAGGCTGCATGAGCCAGGGCTGTGGGCAGCTTCCAGGAGGCTCACTGGCGGGAGGAGGGGACTTGGGATCCCCCGGGCAGCACGGAGGCCAGCAGGAGGAGACTGCCCTGGCTTTTGTCGCCTGGCTCTGGAAGTCCCGAGGTTACTCTCACAATGGCCTCTTGGTCACACAGATTAGTTCCCCTCCATGTGAGGCAACGAAGACACCAGGACGGAGGTCCCAGAGAGTGAGATCCTTCTGTCTCTCTCTAATCAGACACTTCCGGTTGGCCTCTAATGATGTGGCTTGTGAATGACAGTGCTTTTGGCCAAATTTAAACTAAGCATAGCCAAATGCCACGGGTCACATTGTCTGCCTTCCTTCACATGCTCCCTCCCTCCTGGTGCTGGGATTGAACCCAGTGCCACAGGCATGCGAGGCAAAGCACTCTACCACTGAGCTGTAGCCCCAGCCCTTTTTAAAAGCTGTGTTTTATTTTTGGGACTGAGTCTTGCCGAGTTTCCTGGGCTGGCCTCAAACTTGTGACCCTCCTGTATCAGTCTCCCGAGCAGCTGGAGTTACAGGTGTGCACAACACCCAGCAAGAGCTACCTATTTCTAGGAAACAGTAAGTTGTTGGCCTTTGGTCTGTCCAGGCAAACGGTATTTAGCAGAATCCCATGCAAATTCCTTCTTTCATTTGTTTTTCTTTTTGTTTTTTTGAGACAGGGTCTCACTATGTAGCCCAGGCTGGCCTCAAACTCACAGTGTCCTCCTGCCTCAGTCTCCTGAGGATCCCTGGGATCACTGGGATTACTCGCCTCCTGTGTTTCTGAAACGTTGCTCATAGACTTATTTTTCTGTATTCTTTCCTCAGAGACAGTGTGGATGCTGCACCCGCCCCTCCAGCAGCCTGGCCATCCGAGCCAGTGCTACCTACAGCTGAGGCCCATGAGGCCCAAGGCAGCCCCGAGGCAGCCGCGGGGCTGTCCCTGCTGGAGGTGCTCGCCGTCTCCGTGGTGCTGGAGGACGCCAGCGACCAGCTGTCCATCCTTGGCTACATCATGCCACGGCCGCTGGAGGGGAGGCAGAGCACCGCGCTGGTGAGTGGAGGGTGGGAAGCGTCTCCCCCGCCCCCCGTCCCTCACCACGTGCGCTCACGCACATACGCACCTGCGCCTTCACAGGGAAAGGGCCAGGGAGAGGCTGTGCGAATGGTCTGCACCTGCTCTCAACTGATGGAAGGGAAACGGCCATAGCCACCCGAGACGCAGACAGCCCTTACCAGGACAGTGGTGTTACTTAGAAAGGACCGCCATTTGCATCTGTATGAGACGGTACAGTTGGCCCTCCACACGGAGAACCGTGCAACCCGCCTCAGACAGAAAATATTCAGAAAAGAATTGTGTCTGGTGCACTCCTGTGATCCCAGCACAGGGGGAGGCTGAAGCAGGAAGATCACTCTATGCTCGAGGCCAGCATGGGCTCCATAGTGAGTTCAAGCCCAGCCTGAACAACACAGCAAGACCCTGTCTCAAAAAACCAAAAAGCAAAAAGAAGAAAAAACGTATTCAGATATGTTTCCTGAACAATAGTGTGACCACCATGACATTTATATTCGCTACTATTATTATTTTTTCGTACCTCGTAGCAGCACCACTGAGCTAAATCCCCGGCCTTAGATTTGATACTAAGTAACCTCGAGAGGAGCCTGTGCAGAGGATGCCCACGGACCACTTGCACGTAGGGCGCCCCTTCACACGGGGCTCGGTGTCCACAGGGCCCTCGAGCTCCCTCCTAGCGCTGCAGGACCGGTGTGTGTGCGCCGAGACCAAGCGGCTGAGAACCGCTCACCCAGCTTCCTGGGTCCCAGCCCTTTCCTCAGCTGCTAGGAAATAACTGGCCACCAGGGGGAGTATTTCAGCCGCTTCTGTCCGCATTGCTGTCCTGAATGAATGTGCTACAGCTTTTGCGAATGTCTAGCCATGCTGTGACGTCAGCCATTACGTTTTCAATGATGTTTTGGACCCCTCAGCCCCAAGGAGTTATCATGAATCTTAATTTAGTAGGAAGCAGTTTTTTTTTTTTATTTTGGGGGGGACCAAAGCCTATATATTTTCAAACCCCTTTTCCCCCTTTGGTACTAGAGTTAAAGTCAAGGCCTTTGCCCTGAGCTACATTACATGCCCAGCCCCTTTTTTATAAAAGGTTTACATTTTCAGATAGGATCTCACTGAGTCAGTTGCCCACACTGGGTTTGAACTCCTGCTCCTCCTGCCTCAGCCTCCCAGAGTGCTGGGATTATAGGTATGTGGCACCATGCCCACCAAATGTTTATGCTCTTCCTGGTGGACATGGTGGCACACGCCTGTAATCCCAGCACTCGAGAGGCTGAGGCAGGAGGATTGCAAGTTTGTTCCCGGCCTGCGTAACCTAGTGATTTAGTGAGACCTTGTCTCCAAATAAAAAATAAATGGATTGGGACTGTTGCTCAGTGCAAAGGCCCTGGGTCAAGTTTCCAGTACTGTCCCCCACCCAAAAAACTTTGAAATGAGCCAAGATCTCTTCCCTCTGTCTCTTCCCTCCCAAACCCCATATTTTACAATAAATTACAATATGGTGAGTGCCTTCTAACATAATTTCACAAGGAACTTCGTGTGTGTGTGCGTGTGTATGTGCGTGTGTGTGTGTGTGTGTGTGCACGCGCACATGTATGGAATGCTGAGGATTGAACCTAGGGTCTTGCATATATTAAAGATGTGCTTTACCCAGCTACGGTGGTACACACCTGTAGTCCCAGTTACTTAAGAGGCTGAGGGTTGCCAGTTGGAGGACAGCCTAGACAGCTTAGCAAGACTCTGTCTCAAAACAAAAACAACCAGTTCTGGGGATTTAGCTCAGTGGTTCCACCGCCTGCCTTGCAAGCACAAGGACCTGAATTCGATCCCCGGTACCAAAAAAAAAAAATTAAAAAAACTAAAAATTTTGTTGTTGTTGTTCAGGCTGGCCTTGAACTCATAGAGATCCCCCTGCCTCAGCCTCCTGAGGCTTAGATTACAGGTGTGTGCCACCAAAACCGTCTCACAATATAAACCTCACTTTAAAGTGCTGGGATGTAGCTCAGTGACAGAGAGTGACTGAACTTGATCACTCACCAATACAGCAAAAATAAAAAATAAGATACCTCTACAAAGAGCTTCACCCTCAGCCCTGAACTCCCCTTTGGGGAATGACAGAAGGAATGGTGGGACAGCTGGTTTTCTGTGGCTAAAGGGCACATTTTCTTGGACTATAGTGTACTAATAGGGTAAAGCAAGGTTGGAACGTGTAGGCAAGACCCTCTTTCTTGGAGTACCGTGTCTTCACTTTCTATCATTTGCTTTTAGAGAAACAAGAGCCCAGACAAACCGCCGGTGCTCTTGACTGGAAGGAAAATATCCGCTCCGTTACTACTGAAAGGACCAGCATCACCTGAAGTCAGACCAGGAGGCCAGCTGGCTGAGGAGCTGAACAAAATGCATGATCTTGCCTTTAAAACACCTGCAGCACAGGCCATCAGGACTGCAGAGATGCTGAAGAAAACGCAGAGCGACAGGTGAAGGCTGAGAACCTGTTCCAGGAGCTAGAGTCCAGCGTGGTTCCACACGCCTGGAATCCCCACACTCGGGAGGCTGAGGCAGGAGGATCACAGTGAGCTCAAGGCCAGCCTGAACTATGTATTGAGACTTTGTTGTGTTTTGGTTTTTTTTGTTTGTTTGTTTGTTTGAAACAGGGTCTCGATGTGCAGTCCAGGCTGGCCTTAAACTCAAACTCACAGCAGTCCTACGGCTTCAGCCTGGGACTACAGCAGGCACCACCACACCTGGCAGAGACTTTGTTTCAAAAATAAATAAATAAAACTAAAAAATAAATAAAACTGAGAACAGGGCTGCGGGTGTTAGACAGTGGTAGAGCTCATGCTCAGCATACACAAGGCTCTGAGTATTTTTATTTTTTGTTGTGAAAAAGGTCTCACTCAGTCACTAATTCTCGGAGACTAGTGAGATTGTCCTGCTCCAGCCTCCCAGAATGCTAGGAACGTAGGTGTGCCTGAGAAATCCTGAGGGTTTCTTAAAGGCAGTCTCAGTTTCTGTTGCTTACTACTTAGTGTCTTTGTTGAGTTCAAACAAGCCAGTGGAGTTTAAAAGAGGGTGTAGGTGTAACTTCATGGCATTTGGAAAATAAGAGTTTATTTGAATTACCCGAGGTCACTAGCTATATTGGGCCCAAAGTCTGGTTTTCTGTTTGTTTTTGTTTTTTTGAGACAGGGTCTCGCTATGCAGTTCAGGCTATCCTTGAACTCATGGCAATCTTCCTGCCTCAGCCTCCAGAAAGCAGGGATTATAGGCAAGCACCATCATGCCTAGATGTCTAGCTTGTTGATCTCCCCCTTTTTTTGGGGGTGGGGAGGTACCAGGGATTGAACTCGGGACCTTGGGCTTGTGAGAGGCAGGAGGTGGAACCACTGAGCTAAATCCCCAGCCCTTGTTGATCTCTTTTTGATACTAACAATGAGCTGTATCCCCAGCCCCTGGAAGGCTGCTCATGAGTTTTCTTAGAACACAACATTGCCCATTTGTTCACACACTATCTACATTTTTTCTTTTCTTTTTTTTTTGAGATGGTCTCACTATGTAGTCCAGGCTGGCCTAGATCTCGCAGAGATCCGCTTGCCTCAGCTTCACAAGTGCTGGGATTATACTGTCTAAATTTAGAGGCTGCACAAGGGGAAAAAATGAGAACCAAGACCTGTCATGTAAAGGTACAAGATCCCAGTAATGAATGTAACTGTACTGTATACCTAGAATGTACCAATAAAGTCAATAAAAAGAAAAATAAATAAATAAATTTAGAGGCTGCTTTCATGCTGTCACCGTAGAGCTGTGTTGCTCTAAAGGACAACGCGTAGCCAGGTGTGGTGGTAAAGCCCTGAAACCCCAGCACTGGGGGAACTACTTCGAGTTTGAGGCCAGTCTGGACTATATACCAAGATCCTACCTCAAAACAACCACAAAAATAACCCAAACAAATGAAAAAAGGACATGTGACCTACAAAGCTAAGACTGTTTATTCTGTGTCCTTTTGCCACAGCCCTTTAAAAATGGAATTAAACTCAGAACTTTGCGCTTGTGAGGAAGGTGGCAGAACCACTGAGCTAAATCCCCAGCTCCCCCCCCACCAATTTTTTTGAGACAAGGTCCTTTAAATTGCCTAGGTTCAAGCGTTCTTGAACCTGTGATCCTCCTGCCTCAGCCTCCCAAGTATCTGGGTTTACAGGTGAGAGCCACTATGTCCCGCTTATTAATAGTTTTCTCAGGCTAAATGATCCCTGCATTAATTCCGTCTTAGCTGAGATGCTCTTTCTAGGTTTTACCTTGTGTCACTTCTTTAGCCCCTGTGAAGCTAGGGAACTAGATCTTACCTGTGTCTCTTCACAGGCAGTTTTTCAGCGATGTCATTGCAAGCACCATGGAGGAGTTGCAAGAGTCAGGAACTTTCATGAGCCTGCTACAAGCCCTGCGCAAAGAAAAGGAAAGCAAGATGCACTTCTATGATGTCATTGCCAGGTCAGAGCAGCGGATTTGCTGTGTGTGTGTGTGTGTGTGTGTGTGTGTGTGTGTGCGTGTGTGCGCGTGCGCGCACGCGGGCTTGGATGTGTGCATGCACACAATCTCACTATGTTACTCAGGCTGGCCTCAAACTCCTGGGCTCAGGTGATCCTCCTGTCTCAGCCTCTCAAGGAGCTGGGACTATAGGGATTGCCACCATGCCCAGCTCTGCTTTATGTTTTAAAATTGTATAAAACTCTTAGCAAGCCAAGTGTAGTGGCAGACACCTGTAATCCCAGCACTTTGGGAGGCTGAGGCAGGAGGCTTAACGCCCTGGGTGACACCATGAGACACTGTCAAAAAATAAATAAATAGAATGGAATCGAATGGAATAGAACTCTGACTGAAGTCCTTGATTTCTAAAGCAAACCAAATATATACTTTCCAAGAAAGATAACTAGAAGTCGGAAGTGTGGGTTCTACTCCTAGATCATCTGCAACAGTAATTCAGGTTTCTGTGGCCTTAGTTATCTGAATCTGCAAGGATAGCTTGGCATGGTGGTGCAAACATGTAATAGTTCAGATAGAGCAGGTTCTTGTTCTTCCTCTTTCTCACTTTTTCTCAGCAGCAGATATTTTAGATATAACACTTGAGAAGCCAGAAAAGTCTTCTTTTTTGTTGTTTTGTTTTGGTACCAGGGATCGAACTCAGGTCCTCGCGCTTGTGAGGCAGGCAGCGGAACCACTGAGCTACATCCCTGGCCTGTCGGAAAAGTCTTCTTCCCGGTGGCTAACACAAACCCAGGGGCTCAGCAGGGCTCCTGAGGGTGTGGACGCGGTCCCCCCGCCTCCTGAGCCAGAATTCCAGGCTCCAACCAGCTCTGCAGTGGGCAGGGTCCCGTGCACCCAAGGGCTCGGAGACCCCATTTCACAAATTGTTCTGATTTTTTGTAGGGAAGAAAAGGGACGAAAAATGATAAAATCTCTTCAAAAACAGCTGATTAATGTTAAGAAAGAACGGCAGGCTGAAGTACAGGTGAGCAGCCCTTAGTAGCACCAGGAGCGGCTGAGCTGGGGAAGTGGGCAGCAGCCAATTTCTCAGGCCAAGAAGAGCTGTATGTGAAAGATTAGTGCTTCTCAGCAGCTTTTGCACTTACACGAGGGAGTGAGGAGCCGGGAGCAGAAGTCTGAGGACCCTAGGACCCTGGAACTCTCAGTCCGCTGTCACTCACCCCGGCCACACCACCACTATGTAGCCCAGGCTGGCCTCGAACTTCCAGTGACCCTCCTGCCTCAGCCTCCCAAGTCGGGGTCACAGGCGTGCACCACCTTGCCAAGCAGCTCACCTGTTTTTAACAGCTTCTTAATGGTGTGTCATCCGTCTCAACAGTGATGACAGGGTGCCATAAAACACGATGGGACAGTAGGAGCAGGTCCTGTGACTACTACAGGCAGGGACACTGAAGTGTTCCTACAGCGGGACCCGCCACGATGCTGGACATCTGCGGCAGCCCGTGCCGTTCAGGGGCACCAGCGAGGACCCATTCACTCCGGGGCAGCGAGGGCTGTGGCATTTATTATGGAAGGGAGATAAGAGAACTGACCTTGTGCTGGGAGGGGGCAGCTCACAGGGAAATGACAGCAGGGCAGGGCTGGGGCCCGAGACCCTGAATGGGAGACGCGGGTAGCTCAGGGTTGGGTTAGGACTCTTAGGGACGCGGCCTAATGCTAATTTCCTATCCACGGCTGTACCATTGTGTATGGCTTTTATGACTCCAACGGATTACTCCCGTCTCCTTTTAATCCAACCAAAGCGGCCGGGCCAGGTGAGACCAGCTCCAGCGTCTCCACTCCCCAGAGCCGCTCCCTCACGGTGTGGACACTACTGTGAAAAGCCGATGACACACATTGCCGCGGCCGCCCTCGCTGCTTTCTGAGCTGTGGTTGACGGTTTTCTTTCCACTACTAAATCGTGCTTCTGTGAATTCAAGAACAAGTCCAGGAAGTGAGGTCTGGTGCAGTTTTGGAGCTCAGGAGTAGCGTTGGGTCTGCCAGGAAACCGGCCCTCAGACCCTGGTCGAGGACCAAGGTGCAGGCTCTGCACACGGTCAGGATTCGAGGCTGTGTGAAGGCAGAGCTTTTCTCAGTGAAAATCTTTCGGTTTTTATTTTTTTAAGACAGAGTCTCGATAGGTAGCCCAGGATGGCCTCAAACTCGTGGCGATCTTCTTGCCTCAGCCTCCTAAGTGCTGAGATTACAGGCATGTGCCACCACACCTGACATTTGTGAACATTCCTTTTTTCTTTTTGGGACAGAATCTTGCTATGTAGCCCAGACAGACCTCAAACTCATGGCAATCCTCCTGCCTCAGCCTCCCAGGTGCTGGGATTCCAGGTGTTCGTTCACCCATCTGGTCTTTGAATTACTTTTGTTATCTTTTGTTTTAATTTATACTCTCCATGATTATGGGCTTAGCTTCCCTCAGTGTGACAGCAGAATAATAGTCGCAGTCGCTTTTCGATTCACATGCCAGGAGGCTAAGCTGAAGCCACTGACCAGACTGCATGGAGGTAGAAGGTACTCTGCATTTAGAAACCTACTGGTCTTTCTTCTGCAGAGCCGAAACGAATACATTGCCCACCTCAAGGACCAGCTGCAAGAGATGAAGGCAAAAACCAACCTGGAGAATCACTACATGAAAAAGAACACCGAGCTGCAGATCGCCCAGACCCAGAAAAAGTGCAACCGGACTGAGGAGGTCTTGCTGGAGGAGATTGAGGTGACCACAGCTCAGTATTTTACCCCGGGGTTCCGGGACTGTCATGGGCCAGGCCCTAGGTTCAGCCCCCAGCAACAAAGGGGAAAAAAGAAAGCCCCGGGGTGGGGCCGGTCCTGACACTGTCTCAGCCAGCAAAGGGGCAGGGGGATGGGTTTCCTCCACCTATCAGCCCCCAACACTCGAGGCTAAAAGCAGATGAAATGACATGGAAGTATTTGCAAGCAGAGATCCCGATGAGCCAAAGCCTGTACTCCTGCTTGTCTTACACTGGTCACTTAACTTGGGGGACACAGGTGAGCTCCTCACGCCTCAGCCTCCTGGGTGCTCTTCCTGTCTCGGGACACAGGGTGACCACAGGCAGAGGCCCATGAACTCCCCAGGACCCGTAGTGCAGAACGGGAGACCTGCAGAACCTCAAAGCCAAAGCCCAGGGAGCCGAGAAGTCCCGTAACACTCCCAGGGGAAAGAGAAGGGTGGCCTTCGTGAGAGGATGCTATGTGACGAGAGGGACAGTCAGGGGCCAGGGTGGGCACAGCCATCGGCAGAGGTGTCGTCTGCAGTGGTGCCTTCCGCCCTGACGACACACACCTCTCGCGTGCTGTGGTTGTGTGTTCTAGAACCTCAGAACCTCGGGGCCTTGGAGCATTGTTTTTCTCCTTCTATGGAAGCCACCTTCGAGGTGGCCGGATGCCGGTCCTTGTCCCCAGGGCCCCTGCATGTGCTTCCCTGAGGTCAGCACTGGCTCTGTAGCATCGGTGACTGGATGGGGCTGAGTGGAACCGACCTGCAGCCCCAGAGCGATGCCTCCTCCCAGTCCCCGCTGGCCATGGGCCCAGGCCTGTCGCCTCCTGGCTTCAGTGTCCGGCCTCGGCCACAGATCCTAGCATCGATTCTCGTGCTTACAGAAAGTGAGGATGAAGACCGAAGAGGAGAACCGAATCCACATGGAGATTGAGATGTTCCTTAGGAAAGAGCAGCAGGTGAGACCGAAAACTTTTGTATCGCTCGCCTTTAAAAAATTGCACATATAAAATGCTGAGGGGAGCAAAGACTTTTTAAAGGTAAGAAAAGTCAACCATAATTCTAGTGGCCTAGTGAATGAACAGCAGACCGTGTGTTCTTTCAGTTACTCATCTGACTAGAATTTTTTGGAGGGGGAGGTGTTTTTGTTTGTTTTTTGAGAAAGGTCTTGCTTTGTAGTGCAGGGTAGCCCTGAACTCCCTATGCAGATGGAACCTTTAAAGTCTCCTCACTGTGTGCCCACTGGTTGTGTGGAGCCAACCTGTGGCTATTTCCCATGTTACGAATGTAATTGGAATAAACACGCCTGGAACCAGGTAGAGCCTCTGCCTACCAAAATGTTAAACCAGAGGCCCCACTGCATCCCTGCGGCGCTGCAGAGGTGAATGCCACTGTCACGGTCTTGAAAGAAGCGGAGTGCTGATGTTGAGCAGGTCCTCACTGGGCTGTTCAGCCTTCCGGAGGCGGAGCAGACCCTGGAAGGAGAGACTGTGGATGATTATAAGCAGGTGTAGGATCTTCACTTGTTAGCCTGGTCACAGCCCCTGCCTCCAAACCAGTTTGAAGAAACCACCAGCGGCAGCTCGCTCTTACCTGGCAGGGCCAACAGTGCCCCGTGCGGTCTCGAGGCAGTGCCCCGTCACTTCCGTTCTGTCCTATGACGTGGACGCACAGATGCTGCACAGGACATCACCTTTCTTGTGAGTGGCATCATGCTGACTGTATCCAATAAGCAGGAAGTAGCAAGGATGACTTTTAGTAGTGTGACTGGGAGGTAGGGGACAAAGCCCACTTCTGGTCCTAATTCTGTGTATGTCACTAATGATCCATTTAGATGACAAGAACCATACCAATAATTTGAAGAGGGAAATTTAACAACAACAACAACAACAGCAAAACATGAGCTATTACTAAAGGATTGACCACTGAGAAGGATTAGAAGAGCCGAGTGCATGCTTGTAATCCCAGCACTTGGGAGGCTGAGGCAGGAAGATTGCCAAGCGTTGAAGCACAGTGTGGGTTACATAGTGAGACCTTGTCTCAAAAAAAAAAAAAAAAAAAAAAAAGAAAAAGAGGAATAAATA